ATTTTATATTTAAAATACTGCGAATCAATTCGCCTTCCCGGGCGTACAATATCTTTTAATAGATTGAAATTTGGAAAATACCGAACAGTCACACAATGCACTACATAAATTAATCTTCATCGAACAATGAAGGAAACTTTTCATAATACGGTTGCCAACATTCATCAAAGAGCAAATAAAGAAAGGAAATACACAAAAACAATTTCCTTATGGCTATACACAAGTTTCCACATTCACATGGTTCATAAAAAATGAAACACACGGAAACTTATTATGGAATATAAAGAACGGTTTTCTTTTTTGTTATCACAGATGTCTTTGATCAAGTCTTTTTACTGATAGGCTTTCCAATAAAAATATCCAGGATTTTCCGGGACGTTCCGTTACTAGCAGTTTTTCAGCCTTTCTGTTCAAAATCCTTGCAGCACGCATCTCGCAATAAGAGAAATTAAAGTGAGGTAATAGTTTTATTGTAAAAAGAAATGGATTGCATGCCGGTATTTTGTTTTACTTTTGTTTATATTCATACAGTACTATTTTGTCAATACCGCTCCCATTTTATTTAAAGCTACCTTTAACTCCTCCTTGCTAGATGCTATATCATCTGCAAATCTAAGCATTCGAATCTTTTGCCCCTGTATATCTATCCCTATAGTTGTCCTGTCTTTAATGATGTTGATCGCATCTTCGATGCATAGATTAAAAGATAGCGGTGACAGTGTGCATCCCTGTCTGACTCCCTTCCTAATATTTACTTCTCTACGTTGCATCCCTAGATCTATAATTGCCTGTTGCTCTTTATACAAACTGAGTAACACCCTTCGATCTCTGTAACTCATCCCTACATTTTTAAGTATATTTAACATCTTGTCGCATTTAACATTGTCAAAAGCTTTTTCTAAATCTCCAAATCTTATGTACGCCGTCTTTCTTTTTTCTATTGTTTTCTGTATTGTTAGCCGTAAAGCCAAAATGACCTACCGCGTTTTTCTATTTCTACTAAATCGAAATTGATCTTCCCCTAATAGTTCTTCCGCCTTTTCTTCCATCCTCCTCTGTACAATTCTAGTTAAGATTTTTGATGTCTCATCAAAACAATATTTATAAACAAGAAATCGTCAATAAAAACTTAAAGTAAGAGAAAACAAAAACCCGACTGCGTAAAAAAATAAGTCATTTGAAAAATTAAAAAAAAAAACATACGGAGGCACGACTCCTCCTATAGTATATACGCCTTTGACTGCAAATATTTATCAATTATTGCAACTGTGGCTGTGAATATAGGTACATTGATTAGAGGTTCCAAAATTCTCTTATAAATATCAACAAACGTCAGGATTTTATGGTAGCAGTAGGTACATACTTATGTACTTACCTATTTAATAATTCTTTAACATTAATTATGAATTTAATTACATCCAACACATTCGCAAAGTATAATAAAGAATAATACTGACACTTATATATTAATGTATGTAGATTAATACGATATCTGCATAATTTAAATGAATAAACAACACACGTTATCATTTAACGAGATTGACCGAACTGTTGGCGAAGGACTAATGAACAGATGATGGAAAACAACAAAAACACGGACGGCCTCTTGCGTTGTTTATTTAAAATGGAAGGAGAGGTATCTACGGTCATTTATCCAAATCGTTTTGTTAAAAAAACTGTCTCGATCTGAAGTTATCTAAGACAACCAAATCTTTCAAAAACAACAAATACAGCGAAAAGGAAATTCCAAACTGGGTTTTGAATTGAGAGGCATCGAAGAATGTGCATCACCATTTTCTATGACAAAGAGGATCATATACGTTAAATGTTTTTAATTTAACTTCTCATGACTCCAAATGACTTAAGACAGTATTAAGGATTAAGGAAACAGTCATGCAAAATCGAACATAAAAATTACTCATTTCTTGGTTGGATTTTTTTATTATGTTGCACCCATATTCGTGTGGAGTATATTTTTTTCAACCACGTTTACCTCAAAATATCACCAGCATTCCCTGAAAACTGTTCCAAACTGATTAAACTCCAAAACCTTTAAAACTTGGCATAAATCATGCGCAAAACCTCTCATGGGCTCTACACTGATGAATTTGGATTAGTTTATTATTTATATAAAAAAGTGGTTGAAGGTCATCATCATCATAAGGTCGTCAGTCCTATGACTGGTTGGACACGTACCTCCACTCTTTCCTATCCTGAGCAAAACTTCGCATTTTCATAGAACTAGAACAACCCATCCCCTTAACTATTTGCGAACAGTAATCTAATCTAGGTCTACCCCTACCCCTGCTAGCGTCCGCTTCTGCTTCTAATATGTCTCTAAATCTTCGTGCCTGAGAACCTATCTCGCCTATTTTTTATTGACTTCCGTAGAGTCCTCTATTCTCCTATTCTTTCTAATACCTCTTCATTTCTAACCTTCTCTATCCACGGTATCCTCATCATTCGTGTGTAACACCACATTGCGAACGCTTTTTTTACCTTTTATGTTCTTAATGTCCTACTAGTGAATAATATTAAAGTGAACAATCTAAAGCTTTTGACGTGACAACGTCTTATAATTCGATGGAGCCGGCTGCACGCACGAAAAAACATGACTCATGCGACGTTACCTCGCTCTGAGGCGTTCCATTTAAGGCTTGAAGTGCAAGCGAGAGCGCGGAACGAGCGACAAAGAGGCACAATCGGCCTCCGCGTTCGGCAGCGTTCGACATC